TTGACCTTGACCTTTGAATCTCATGACCTTTGACCTCAACTTTTTACCCCAGTGTGTCTCTTTGTTTAATTCCGAACAACTTTGCTTCATAATGTCATAGCGAAATGTTCACTAGTGAAAAGCTACAAAATTTGACCTTGACCCCTGACTAAATGACCTTGACCTTTAGTCAGTTGACTCCTTGTTTAATTCTGATCAATTTTGCTTCATAATATCATAACAAAATGTTCATCAGTGAAAAGATGCAAAATTTGACCTTGACCTTGACCTTTGACCTCAACTTTTCACCTCAGTGTCTTTTTGTTTCATTCCGAACAACTTTGCTTCATAATGTCATAGCGAAATGTTCACTAGTGAAGAGCTATAAAATTTGACCCTGACCCGATGACCTTGACCGTTGGTCAGTTGACTCCTTGTTTAATTCTGATCAACTTTGCCTCACAATATCATAACAAAATGTTCATCAGTGAAAAGATATACAATTTGACCTTGACCTTTGAACCTAATAACATTGACCTTTGACCTTGACTTTTTACCTCATTGTGTATTTTTATGAACTGAACATCTTGACCAAGTTTTATGTACATCGGTCAATAAATACTAAAGTTATTAGCCAGGAACAAATATGTGGACGGACAGACAGACAGACAGAGTGATTACTATATATAGGGCACCCGTATCTCCGATACGGGGCCCTAACAAGTAGTTACAAGCATATAGCTATTGGTATGTAAAAATATAGGTTCATACACAATAACAGAAACCTAGAAACGCCAGGAAAAATATATTTCAAGTATATCCAACATTTTGTTGTAAATCATTGTTGGGTTTCTACATTAAGAATCCCAATTAGTATGTCCCCAAATCGCTCTGCATTAGTACATATATAATGTGATTCTAACGCAACAGCAAGAGGATACATATATCCAGCGGCCTGTGATTGATAGTGGCATATATCCAATCTCGTCACTTAATTATCGGGCATACCAAACAAGCTATCCTTAGAATCCCTAATCAATCACAGACCCTAACGGCCCGGCTTATAACGTTCGTCGTTCATTGTCTACGCATATGCTTGCATCTGACATGAATTGTTTTTGCATCTTTGCAAATGATTTATAATCCTGATGGAAACGGCTGTCTAAGCTGGTTGTAAACCTGTTTTATAGAACACTCCATACAACATGTAGAAAAAGGACAAGAGAAAAATGCCGCAGTAAACTTCCACGACGCCTGGGGAAACTTTGTTACAGTTGAGTGTAGACTAACTTTAACAACCTAGTGTACTACAGCTGAAAGGTGATGGTTTGTAGCGCCGTCTGTACCTGTAGTCTGCTTATCCATGTAGTTTGACTTGATTATTTGAAATTTTGAAAATTCTTTTTATAAAAGTATCTGACAATCTTTACGATGTACGTATGTACAATATTTACAGTTTTTAACCTTTTACTATTCAGTTTCTCTTTGGTATACTAAGTTTAATAATTGTCACTTGTTGTGTGAGGCCCGATATGACTTAACCGTTGATTGGAATTTGAATATGTGTAAATTATACGGTATCGTATACGATTTTCCATATACTTTAAAGTAGTACACGAAAACCAATAAGCCTCATCAATGATTGCTCAATATTGAGTAATTGAGTAATTCATGGTTAGCTAAATGTAAGGGTTTAACGTTTATCAACAGATATATCTCCATGTGTGCTGTGCATGCGTGTCGGAGTAAGGGTATGTTGGTGTATTTGAATTTTTGTATAGTGCAGATCTGATGCATTTCATGGGCCAACGACACACTATTTATGACATATGATTGGACTTTGTAAACAGGTTCAATATTTTCTGTTCATTTTCATAAATTCGGAAGATATCTGACGTGGATTTGGTTGTTATTGTTATAGCAAGTGATGAGTGTTAGTGAAACATGGTCATTTGTTGTAATATTGAACTGTCGGCATAATTGGTAGAAATTGCATGTGTAAATAACAAAAAAATCACGTCATTTAAAACAAAATTAGCTGCGAAAACATCAAATGAAATCCAATTATTGAGTTCAATCTGTTGTTTGCCAATCTGTTAAGTTTAGCTTGTTTCATCGACTCTGGATATACTAAACAGTGTTCTGTCCTTTAATGTCAAATTACATATTCGATTTGTTTGTGGTGTAACATTGTCTTAATGTCAAATTACATATTCGATTTGTTTGTGGTGTAACATTGTCGCAACATCGTTGAACAAATGAAGACGGGGTACTTAGGGAGAAACCGATGAAAGGAAAAAGAAGACAAGACAGATCAACAGTGTTACACTGGGGATAGCAGTTCTATTTTTGTCGCTTGTATGTCCTCTTAGTAAAAACCCTCGATTCTACAGGTGGCCACACGATATTGTATCTAATGTAGGGTCCTTTGTAGACTCGTTTTTGTTTTTACTAAGAGGACTTTCTGTGTATTCCTTTTGCGGGACATTGCAAAAACAAAAGATCTGTAGTCCCAACCTCAACATCCTAGGATATTTTGTTTTACACTATAGCTTTTATTTTATGTACTAACTAACAACACATGCAGTGCAGCACAAACCTTTCTGTAACCAATAAGCGTCAGGCAGATGGACTGCAACGGATCGGAAAGATGCCGAACAACAAACCTCACCCCAATCTTCTTCACTACAAACTTATATTTACATTTGCATGGCATTGTCACTAGATAACCTACTTGAAAGCGGTGTCGTTGATGAGAATTTAAATGACATGTACCACGAGACACAGTTCCTAGCCAATCAGCATGCGTAAATACGCTGCTCAAGCTATTGAACGAATATGTGCAGACTGTCGATGATGCGGGACTTTTATATTTTAAATATTGTTTGTTTATTTCTAAACGAGAAAGACAGAAGAAACTTAAATATAAACATTTTTGTATGGCATTTATGATATAATTGAATGACACACCTTTTGCAAGCAAACAAATGCTTAGCGCATTATGTTGTTTGCTAGCAAAGCTGTATCATAAATACCACACAAAAACAGTTAAATGCTTAAAAAATGTCATCTTACACAATGGTTTACAAGTGTTCTACAGGGAGACATATTAAGGTTTCTTTTATTTGTGTGAAGTACCTAATTATGGTTCAGGGTACAAATTGAAATTATCATATGGCATAATGTTTTGATATTAGCACATGTATTTGTTCCTTGGAAAATTGTTCCGCCGAAGTTGATTAAAAAATAACACAATTGATCATTTCCCTAAGCAGAAAATTAAAAAAAAACCATTAAATATACAGATATGAAACAAGTTTAATCACTGAAGTGGGATTAGAAACTGTTCTGTAAGGTTTTATGAGGCTCTACAACTCTGTTATTGTGATTAAATCAGTTTCTTGGATTATCGGGAGAAATGTCAGTGTGATAAAATGTAGTTCAACCTAATTCCTAATTTCAAATCGACCGTATTTCACTTATGGGAGAAAGTCTGCCATTCCATAAAATCATCTTTTCTACCCATAATAACGTTACATGTCTCTGCAATTTTAAACTACCTAAAAGTTGTTGGCCTTTTTTATTAATATGAGACACCCTAGCCAATTTAAATATTCAAGTTGACGTTTGTCGTTTACAATTATATATGTTCAGGGACATTTTGCTTTGCATTTTTGTTTTTTTCGACCATTTGTTGGCCCTTATAACCTCTCTTGTGTTGGCCGGCCGTTAAGCATGCAATAACAATAGTAGTGACTAGCCATATCGTAAAGGCTTTGCCACTTATTTCAGTATAAAGGTTACAAAAGGTTCAACTGTTTTCTTCGATGCTTTACATTTGACAATTAACATTTTTGACCTATCTACCAATTACAATGAAAGAGGTTTTTCAAAAATGCCATTTCGTTTGATTTCAATTTTCTTTTGGTGAGAAAAAATAAATAAGTACTTGGTTCGTTTTTCCCGAAAGACGAACATTTTCACTCTAACAATGCACTGAAGGATCAATTATGATGAAACCGAAACAACGGACCAAATACTATATTTTAAATTGAACAAATAACGGAAGATAAGTTATATTATAACATTTAATTAACGACATCATATACATATAATATAAACATGTATAGCATCAATCATCACAACATTACATCAACAGTACACATAATCTATATACATCAGAATAAAAGTTTTGGCATATATGGGGTAGACTCAACTTAATGCTTGTAATAGTACCATTCTTCCTCTCGGTTTAGGTAGTATTTTGTAGCTATGTAGACAATGTCTCACAGATTACTACAAATTGTATGTGCAGATTATACTGTAGCTGTGCGGACTAGCGGCGACAGATTACCACAATATTGCGTTTATTGCATTGTAGCTGTGCATATTTTCTGCAACAGATTATACGTATCTGTGCGAACTTTGTCGCGACAGATAGACCTATTATATTGCATTGCAAACCTAATCCAGAGAAAGAATGGCACCTTACCTTTTTTCAAATTTTTGACTTTGTCACTACCCTTTTGACTCAGACTGGTTAGCGCATTGGGCTTATTTGACCAGATGTCGGCAGGGTAGCTATGTGACAGAACTTCGAATAAGTCCTTCTATTATTTTGGAAATTAAAATATATAATTGTCCCAATTATTTGATAATATGAATATTTTTGGGGAAGTTTTTAAATGAGGAATACTTGATAGACATCCCTCTTATATATATAGTATTCAAAATGAAAACATGCCCATAACTCAGTGTATTATTCCTGTAATAACGTTAAGCTGAGTACCCCAAAAAATGCCAGGTATGTCATAAGAGGAAATTATTGACATATTGTATTTATGTTATTTTAAAGTGTATGATCGCGAGGTACGTGTAATCAAATATTGTTACTGGACATGTAACTTAGTTTAATTTCTAGCCATACTAATCAAGAAGTCATACATATTTGACTTTTATATGATACTGTCCACATTTGTTTCCTAAGTCATTTGTAATGCTTAATTGCTTGAATCGCTAGTTCAGGACATTGTCAGTGCTCTCTGAGCGTTCCTTATGGAAGATTGTGGCGTCCTTATATACCTGCAGTACGCGTCTGAGGACCACCTACCTAACACTTTGATGAGGTGGTCCTCAATGATTGCTGCTGCCGATGACGTTGCAGCACCTATGCGAAACGAGTGACCATTGTACAGGTCAGAGTGTATGCTTAAGCATTGGAGTACATGACGAAATTTGGCTATAAACACTGTTTTACTCAAAGCTTGTCCATTGTCTGTTACAAACAGGGGGTCGTTTGGTGATGGACACTGCCTCTGTCGTGCTTTCATGTATTTGCTACATATACTATTGGGGCATACAATGGTATCAGTATTAAATAATTTGAGAGTAACTCCGTCCCTGAAGGGGTCTGTCTTCGATTTCTTGAGATGGAGAAGTACACAATCCTCCGATATTACCATATCGGATACACACAGATTAATATTATGGTCGAAGTAGGAATTATTCACGGTGAATTCACCACATCTCAAGCATCCAAAGAAAGCTACTGTGCATGCTGTTTCAAACATCAGGTCACTGAATGAACTTAATTTCTCGCGAATGTACGCACATGCATCTTTGAGAATATTGAACGTGATTGGGTATCGTGGCTTCACATTTTTAACGCGGGCACGTTTCACACCCCCAAGCACAGTTTGAATTCGGTTCAAATTTGTGTTACTTGGGTATGGAATATTTTCCTTCAAACACATGAATTTTACAGCGCACAGGTACAGTTTGATAGTCGCATATGATAGGTTGATGTTGTAGCAGTGTGCCACAAAGTGTATCAACATGTCCTCTGACACAGACATGTTATTGTAGTCCACACAAGTGACTAAACCTGCCATCAGAAGGAACTGGATAAAAAAATTAAATCCGGTGCTGTAAGCCAACCTTGTACTCGGAGCTATCGCCTTCTCCCAAAGGTCATCTATTACCCCTCCGAGTTCCACATGACTTCCGACGGGTGTGGCTTCTGGAATATGATCTGCTTCCGGGGCTAGTCGCCTGAACCTGTCCATCTGCAAACGAGACAAAGAATCTGCTATCATATTACACTTGCCCGTAACATGTTGCGACGACACTACGAACATGTTTTTAGCAGCACACATAGTAGGGCGTCTCATTAATGGCATGAAATGTGCGGATTTAGAACGACCTTTGTTTAGTACAGAAACGGTCGCAGTGTTATCACACATAAACAATATGCCAAGGCCCCTCCATTGGTGTCCCCATACCATAGCAGCAACCACTATGGGGTATAACTCCTTGTATGCTATTGATAGTTCATCGGTGTGATGTACACAGTCGTGTATGGTTGGCGTCCACGGCTGGGCGAACCACTGTCCCTGCAGGTATCCTAAACCTTTGGTACCAGATGCGTCCGTAAATAGCTGTACATTCTCCGACGCAGTTATATGTTGATTACAAAATATAGCTGACCATTTCCAATGTTTCAAAAACGCCAGCCACATTCGAAGGTCTTCTCTACATTCGTGGTTCAGTTTAATGTGGTGGTGTAAAGCTTTCACAGTAGTCGACAGTTTAATGATGTGGGATACAAAGCTGCGGCCTTGAATTACAACTTAACTTGCGAAGTTCAGGTGGCCTAAAAGTTGTAACAGTTCTCTCTTTGTACACGATTGTCGATTTTGAAATCCGTTTAACATTTCTGTATCGCGTTGCAGTTTATCGTTTCGTAACCTAGCCTCCATGTTGTGAGAGTCCAGTATGATACCTAAATACTCTATCACTGTCTCTGGTCCGCAAGTTTTGTGAATGGCCATTGGTACATTGAGGCTGTTGAATAGAAGGTACAGTAAGGACATATTTCTGTCACCACACTTCCCTTGTAACTTGAATGTGATGAAGTCATCCAATAGGTGTAGTACATACATGTTTAATACCATAGTTGTTTTCCGCTATCCAACATATTGCTTGTGATAGGGTGTCAAAGATTTTTGGACTTGATCGTCATCCGAATGCCAACTTTGTGTAGTAGTAATACACCCCTCTCCAACATATGCTGTACATGTGCCACAGTTACGGGTGTATGGGCATTAGTTTAAACGCATTTGATGTCTTTCATGTCTGTCTTGCACGTAGTGGTGTTCCTGCCTAAGCGTTGAATTACTTGGATTGCATCGTCTATTCGAACGTATGATAGAGAGCACTCCTCCTTATCTATGAGATTGTTGACGCTGGGGTGATTCTCGTTCTCATGAGGTGATGAAAGGTCCACTATTCAGCGCGGTTTCCCAGAATACTTGCCGTATGATACCCCTATAGGGCTAACTCTGTATTTCGGGAAAGGCAATTGTTTGTAAGGCCCACATATAAATCCTTTACTTAACTCACTGTTTATCAGTTTGTCCACACTAAACTCGTCATTAACTGCTGACCTTAGATTTTTACATTCTTTAGTTGTAATATCAATGTTAGATATCATAGTAGCAAATCCCTGAGACAACCCGTCACATAGAATGTTCACAAAATTTCTATCTGGATGTTTCTCTAGTTCCTGTCTCAGGGTTTTTATGTTGATCGGAGTGTTGACATCGTAAGTATCTCTTACCTGCGGAGTTAGTCATTGAGTGTCATTCAGCGTTGTCTTGGCGTGTTTTGTTGGTTTTCCTACACGACTTGGCTCCATGACTGGTAGATTTGCATGTGGCACACATGTGTTTAAAATGGCATCCTGTGTCGTAAAAGCATTTGCCGTCATTGAAATCTTCATTGATCTTCTGACGACCATATTTGTCTGTGTCCTTGGATCCCTGAGATGAACCGCTGTGTTGTTGGTAGTTTTGGCCAATCACATTTACTTGTCCTACCTTCTTGTTTTCGTGTTGTGGGCAGAATGATGTGGAATGTGAGGTAAGCCCGTACAATTGTCATGCGTTGACTTTAGCATTGCCTACCACCATACTGAGGAGTCCGTTATCTTTTAAACCCCAGTTTACTTCTCAGAGCTACAGCCGCTTTGAGAGCAAACTGACAGTGATAGTCATAGAACTTTGGGCCGTACACGTTCGAAATGTCTATCACATTTGTCTCATATGTGTCCTGTTCTCCTCACCTTTCTGGGAACGTCCTACACATAATTCTGTTATATTTTCCAAACGCTGTGTTGAATTCGGCAATTGATAATGATTTGTGTAGCTTATTGTCCTCGCTATCACTTAAATTGATCGAAATGCCCCTATGCCAATGCTCTTCTGCTCGCTCACTTTCGTACTTTGGGATCAGACGGGAAGCTAGGTTGACGTATCTGCCTTCCAGGATTTTCTTTTTGTTTCTGATACGATGTCTATGTGAGGGATACTTTCTGCAGATACTCCGCTTTCACTAACGTACTCACCGGCTTGTAAAGTGTTTGCCCTATGTCGCATGGCCTCATAGGCTGTTGTCAGTGTGTATCCCTGTACGGTTAGCGGATTATCTTCTGTGGCTCTGTGTTCGTCTCTTGAGCCCTTCAAAGTTAGCACGGTCTGTTGCATCCCCATCATGGTTTTGAGCATGTCCTGCATCATAGTATTTTTGTTGGTACAGGCGCGGCCAGGTTTTTTTTGTCATGCGGGCAAAAACCTCCGGTGTGGCTCTCTCCGCGGATCTCGACTCGGTATTACTCCGCGTCGCTGTTTGATGTGGCGCGGTTTGAGAATGGTCTAGATCTCGACTGCGTGATTGCGCTCCCGCCTTGTTACGTAGTACTGTCGTAGATATGTGCTCCTCGAAAGTATTGTCGACGTTTGATATCGTGGCATTTTGCGTGTTAAGTGCTGGGTACAAGTTCGGACGAGTCGCGGCACTCATATTGCGTCCCGCGTTTTCCATGTACAAGTTTTTTAAACCAGCTTTCGTAATACCAGTATTTGGTACGTTTATACCAATTTTTTCGAGCTGTTTCTTTAATTGTAAAACTGTCCAATTTGCTGGGTTTGACGAGTCCCATGGGTTAGTCCTAGTCGAGTTTGATTTAGATCGACGACTAGCCATGTTCACTTCGAGCGCGATATTTGAATAAGTACAAAAGTTTCTCAAAGTTCGTCTCTCTGTATCGTTTGGAGTTAAGCTAACTCTGTCTATTAAAACCACAGAATTACTTTACTATGTTTGTTCAATGTTAAGCCACAAACACGGGAATTTTTTAGTGATTACAATTGCTAAAAATACGTGATATCACAATATTTTGAGCAACACAAGTTGAGACGTCTTTTCGCTGCAGAGCTTGGGAACACAATGACGCTCCCTCCCAAAATGTTTAACCAATCAGAAGTCTCTATATACTTGGTTGATATATCTTTTGAATCGTCTCCCATTCACATATCATGTTACCTATATGTGCCCCTGCATGATCATGCAGTTGTCACTACATCTACACACTGATAGAATATAATAAAGATTATATAATTGTAGTCTGCCGTTAGATAATACCCATCTGTCCATTTAAACATGGCTTATATACATAAGCCTAAATATACAGTTGTGGGACCGCACAACGCACCAACAATAGCGTGCGCACACCGTGCATACATCGTTCACACACCGTCCGCGCATCGTCCACACATGGTGCGCACAACTGTGCGATTTAGCAATCGTTCGCCCCGTTGTGCGCTTCTCTCCGCACAACTGTGCGATTTGGTATCATTTGTAGATCAAAATTACGGAATGACAAAAATACGGAAGGCTCGTATGCGATAATGTACACTGTGTATATATCTGTAATTTCTCATCACAATAATCAAGATTATACAATTTCACAATGCGTGTTACACAGTATTACAGCGACCGTTAGGCTGTCAAGAATGGGTTTGGCTCCAAGGTAACAGAACAGGTAAATAACAATTTTATGAGTGTCCGGAGTTTTACCTGACCAGTGCCTGACACACAGAGCTGATATGCGATACCGTTTGACCGTAATGAATAGTATTTGTTATTTGCATTCGTTTGCCTATAGCTCCCCTTCACCTGGATTTTCACACCCCCGGCCTTACCCGACGAGTTACGTAAGTGCCCCAGGCGGGGAGAAAACTACGGTCCAGGTACATGTGCAAAGTGGTTATGTTTACCTGTATACGGGATTGTGTTGTAATTTTACATGTGTCGATTAAGTTTGTTTAAAAACACAGAAAACACAATTTCTAAATATAAGAATATATAGACAGAAAGATAAGTTTATAGATGTTGCTAGAATATAAAAACATACGTAAACATCAAGTTTATATGTTTAAACACGAAACCGTATAAATTGTTAAGGCATTTCTCAATTTACACCAGCCACGATAGTTATCGCACAACGTCCGTCCATCGTGCGCACAGATGTGCGCAAGCAATGATCGTCCAATTTTTTATCGTTCGCCCATCGTGCACACACCGTTCACACACTGTGCACACATCGTGCGCACACCGCACATCGTGTAACGTTGTGCGATCCCACAACTGTACATATAAAACAAACTTGCTTTGGTTAGTTATCAGATATGTACAGACAAATCAGCAGCCAGAAGCAATCTCAATCAATGATATTTTCCAGACAAAAAATGTGTTCATCTTAGCATTCAAGTATCTTTAACTTTTTTATACCAAAAATATTTTGATTATAGTTGGACGAGGTCCTGAACTACCATTGACAAAAATATCCATCCAAAATATGTGGTGGAACATATTCAAAAAAGGGATCAAATGAATATATAGTTTATACATCAAAAATCATGACTATGTGTATAGTGTAACCATTATGATTGAAAACTTACAGAAAAGAAGACAAAATTTGTTCCAGTTCGGATGGAATGAGTATTTAATCAGCAGAGAAGATGTTTGGAAAATATTCGATGCTTGAATCCTTTTCAAGATGGCCACCAAAACATTCATTTTACTGCCAAATTAGTTGTCAGATTCATAGACAACTATCAATGGAATTCAGATATTGTGTGCTTGTTTGCTATTTTGCTTTTATACATATATTAAAGTAAAACGCCGTATTAACAGCTGATGACATTTACATATAATGTTTTGCAAGATGCAAGAGTATGAAATGTGTTCGAATGGCAGAGTTGGAAAAAAATAAGGAAGAAAAAATTATGCAAGGCTTTTGAGTTTGTTTTTCAAC